TTGAATATATTTGTATGTGTGTTCAAAAGTTTACACTTTCTGCCCAATGGAAGAGGGTGGAAGAGAGTATAACTGGGGTAGGAGGGGTCTTTGATTATGGTGGTTGCTTTCCCACGGCAGCGGTAAGTATAGATGAAGTCAACGAATGGGAGGCTGATTTGCGTGATGGACTGGGCTGTGTTCACAACTCTGTGCAGTTTCTTGTGGCCTTGGGAAGAGTAATTGCCATACCACGCTGTGATGTATCCAGTTAGGATGCTTTCTATGGTGCGTTTTTAAAAATTTGTAAGAGTCATTATGGACATGCTGAATTTCCTTAGCCTCCTGAGGAAGTAGAGACATTTTTGTGCTTTTTTGACTGTAGTGTCAATGTGGATGGACCAGGACAGGTTGTTGGTGATCATCACTCCCAGGAACTTGACATTCTTGACCATCTCCACTTTAGCACCATTGATGCAGACAGGGGTGTGCCCTCCACTCTGCTTCCTGAAGCCAATGACCAGCTTATTTGTTGCACTGATGTTGATGGAGAGATTGTTGTCTTCACCCATGCCGCTGAGCACTTTATCAGCTTCCTGTACACTGTTTCGTCGTTGTTTGAGATCTGACCTACAATGGTGGTGTTGTCAGCAAACTTGTAAATGGAGTTGGTGCAGAATTTGGCCACAGTCATGTGCGTATAAAAAGTATAGTAGGGGGCTGAGTACTCAGCCTTACAGGGCACCTTACTTGTAGAGAGTCATTAAATTTAATAAACATATAGCTTGTACAAAGCCAATCATACTCAACTGGTCTCAGTAAATTGCCGATGGGGCCGTTACTCAAATGGATGGATATTGCGAAATTTCTGCACGTTGTCGAAAAACAATTGATTGTGTTACTGGATCAAGCAGTCAATTTATTGTGTTACTAAGTCCTGGGATAATTAATTGAATTACAGGTTCGGGCATTGATTAATTGTTCCTCTGGGCTGATTCTGTTACTGTGGTCTTGAACTACTGTTACCCAAGAATAGATACAAGAAATTGCTGGCATGGCAAAAAGCAATGTTGAAAAGAAAGGATGTGATGATGCAACAAACCCTACATAAGGTTTATAACCCTTCATAACCTATGTAGGCTGCATCCCCATAAACAAGGTGTTTGGCTTGGAGAAGAAACCAATGAGATGAAATCATCAAGAAGACACCAGGAAGTGGCAGCAAGCTGGTCACCTGCTCTCAGGGGTTTACTTCATTGCCTGACAACTGATTGAGCCAATGGCGTTGAATATGTGTACATTGAGAACTTGTTGCAATTCAAGAACTTGTACTCTGTTATAAAGAACTGTAAAATTCAACATTTTTCACCCAATTCAATCTGTGCAGTTTAGATTTGTTTCCACACAACTTGGCAAACTGACATTTTACCAGCCACCTTCAGTTCTGAGGAAGGGTCACCGGACCCGAAATGTTAACTCTGTTTTTTTCCTTCACAGATGCTGCCAGACCTGCTGAGCTTTTCCAGCAACTTCTGTTTTTGTTCCTGATTTACAGCATTCGCAGTTCTTTCGGTTTTTATTGGCAATAATTCTGGTGCCAACACATGTAAAGCATGTTGGTATCCTTTTTTTCTCTCTTAAATCTGATCTTTCTTTCCATCTCTTGATTTCTTTTCCTGTGCTTTATTTGACATTGAATTTACCCACTCATTTACACTTACCCTCTGCTTCCTTAGCTGCTCACTACACAGTCCTTCAAGCTGATGTATAACGACATATACAGTTACTTGGCCTGTTCACTCAATATCTTGTTGCTCTTGGTGGGTGTTGTGCCATTTCCATCAGGCACTTACAGTTTCTTGCCACACGAAAAATTATGGGAATTAAAGAGGCAAGGGAAAATCTAACAGGCGGAATAATTTGTTACCACAAATTTTGAGCCATCACATCTGGAAAATTCCCAGCCAATGCTGACTAATATTTTCTGAAGAAGTCCGCCATATTCACGTTGCTTTGACAGTTGTATTTTGTTTTATTTGGTCCATTACAACATTAACTGACAAGGTAATAAAGAGCTCTTTATGAACTTTCCAATGGTGCACTGGAGAGATATTTCTTATGGTGCGTGCTAAGCCATTCAAATGTGAAAGGCTGTGTTTCAATTGCTTGAGTGATGGAGACTGTGCTAACACAAACATGTATGCTCTGGGGAATGATAAAGTGTTGGTGAATTTATTTTGTCTCCTTTTTAAATCCTAATTTTGAAGAATGGAAGGCAACCAATGCACAAATCTGATCTGGGACCTTTAAAGGATAACATTATCTAATATATTTTGTTATGTTTTAGTGTCATCTTGAAAAGTGTTTAAATTTCATACATTTCAAAAACATACCTCATAGATGGTGTTGACTTTGATATGAAGAACAGTTTTAAAAAGCAAAATAGGATTTTAAGAAGTTATTTTATTTATTATTTCCAGTAACATCAGAAGCATGTGCCAAATGTTTACAACGTTTTGCAAAAAAGCAATTGGCGTAAATCTTCCCATTTAATGATACTGAAACCACTTCTCAAAAAAAAATGTTCAAAAATTAACTGCTCAAATCTTCAATGTCAGTTTTATGATAAGTTCTGGCATAACAGACACCCACCCACCTGATCATTCAACCATTTCCTGCAGTCAAGCTTGAGGAGGTACAGTACACTAGAGTTGATATTTATTGAGATACAGAACACCAAAAATATGCAGGATCTATAAACGTATAAATGGATGTATAAACGGAACTCAATGCAGATGAGTAAAGGTCTAAAACCTGTCAGTCCTCAGCTATATATAATATGCTGAGTGATCATGACATGACATGAAAGATGGCAGTAGAGCATCAAACAAGTATGGAGATTTTGTGCAGTCTCTCCAAAGAATTGGAGCAAATGGTAGTGGAATCTACTGCCCTCCTGTATGCAAACATCTCAGAGGGTTTTTCTCAATAAAGTGCATAATGGAAAAAATAGCAGTTGTATGAAGATTTTCAATCCTTCCCCTGCTTCATGAGAAATCAAGGCAATTCAGTCAATTTGATATGAAGAACTACATAGATTGAAAAAGCATTTGGAGAGGTCCATGCCAAGCAGACTGCAAAGTATTCATGTAGTACCTTAAGGAGACAACCGGTTATTTGATATGCTCTTTCTCAGAGACTTAAGGTTCTTTCTGTTTCTGTGAAGTCCATTCTTCTGCAGAGTGCAGGTAACTGGAATCCAATTCCCATTAGCAGTGGGTCAACTTGTATGCATATCAAAGATGCTGCTTTCCCTCTTGGTTTTAGCATGGGAGAGGTTCCAAATAGGTTTCTGCAGAAGGCTTACATTTTGTAGGGTTAGACTGTCAAAAATGAGTTAGACTATCTCTTAGCAATCCAAAGATTTGGGGAGCCTATGAGAAGTCAGCTCCATCTCAGCAGGTTCATAATATTTGCAGGAGCAAATAGGTTCACAGAAAGCATGCCGAAATGTTAAGATAACATAGATAAAAGCTCAGTGTTCCCTAGGAGTGTGAACAGTGAGAAAAGCAAGTATTGTTTTTTTTCTAAACGATTCCACTGGACCAATTAGTTCTTTGGTAGGGAATATTGAACAACAGAAGTGCTCATCTTCTGGCTCAGTATTATGATGTGATGACCAGTTATAAGGGACAAAGATTTTTGTTGGCCTATAGAGTGGTTGGTGAGAGGAGGAAGTTGTCTGATGATCTGAGAACTTGTTAAATCAATCAAGTGTCTTGAGCTTCCAAGCATCCAAGGATGTGGGCATTACTGGCTAGGCCAGCATTTATTGCCCAGAGTGTATTTAAGAGTCAGCCACATTGCTGCAGATCTGGAGTCACATGTAGGTCAGACCAAGTAAGGATGGCAGATTTCTTTCCCTAAAGGACATTAGTGAACTAGATGGGATTTTACAACAATCAACAATGGTTACATGATCATCATTGATCAACTTCTTATTTCAGAATTTTATTGAATTCAAATTTCACCATCTACATTTGTGGAATTCAAAACCATGCCCCCAGAATGTTAATCTGAAGTTCTGGATCACTAGACCAGATACGTGACCACTATGTCAGAGAGGATATAGCCTCTTTTTACAGCATGATTTGCTGCATTCTGCTATGTGTTTAAAGGTCCAGTCCTTTAGTGAATGTCAGTAAGCAGATGAGTGAGTGAATGGGTATTTGGGTAAGTTGATTAGGTGGTGAAGTGGTGTGGGTGAGATGAGAAGGGTGGTTAGGTAAATAAGTGGGTAGTCAGGCTGGGGTATTTAGGTGGTATGGGCATGGTCAGATCTGGTTGGGCGTTATTAGGTCCAGTTGGGGTAGTCGGGTCTAATAGGGGAGGTAGTCAGCTAGAATTGGTCGTTAGGTTATTACTGGGGGTGGAGGTGGGGTCAGATCTGGATGGGGCAGTAACGAAGAGTTTGGATGAGTGATTGGGGTGTTCAGGGATGGTCGAGTTGTGTCTGGTCAGGGGCTGGTTGGATCTGGTCACAGTGGTGATTGAAAGGTTTGGGAGAATAGTTGGGTGTTAGAATAGGCTTTAGACAGTTTTCTGGTTTATATAGTTTCTCTAAATTATACAGTTTAAATTATTAGTCAGCATAAATGTAGTCTATCTGCATTATTTCCTAATCCCAATTTTATTACCCCTTCTCTCGGATATAAAAACCCAGGTCGTTGAGTTAATCTCAGTCATTTTGTGATCCCTTTTGTCATAGAGTCCCTACAGTGTGGAAGCAGGCCATTTGTTCCATTGAGTCCACATTGACCCTCCAAACAGCATCCCACCCAGACTCATCCCCCCCAACCCTATCCCTGTAGCCCTGCATTTCCCTGGCTAATCCACCTAGTTTGCACATCCCTGGACACTATGGGCAATTTAGCACAGCCAAACCACATAACCTGCACATCTTTGGACCCTGGGAGGAAACCAGAGCACCTGGAGGATACCCACACCACGCAAACTGCACACAGATGTCACCCAAGGGTGGAATTGGACCTGGGTTCCTGGCACTGTGAGACAGCAGTGTTAATCCCTGAATCACAATGCTGGCCCGTGTCCTGTAATGATATATTCTAGAACACTGTTCACTTTAGCTATAGTTCTAGGCATTGAACATGAACTATGAGTGGTTAATACACTAAAACGCTCAGATATTTTTCACATTTGACCTGCCAATGTGTATGACACACTTTTCTCCAAGTCAGACATAATGTACCAATTATGCCACAAATGCTGCCTATGTGTTGAAAATTTCCAGCAAGTTCAGTTTTTCTCCACCAGTAAAATACAGCCTATACTGACATCAAAAAGGAGTCATTACTAGGGTTAGGGTGAAGAAAGTGAATTTCTTCTTTGATCTGCTTACAGACCAAATGTTCATGAAGCATCCACTCCAAACGAGAAGCCTGGAGGTCAGCCTGATAGTGGGTTTCAGATTGTATTAACATTGTTATTGGGAGTTATGATATATGTTGTACTTGAGAGGAAACTCACCCATTATCAATGGAACAATTTAAGGCCACATGCCTCACAGGTAGTGACTCTCGGGTAAGTCACAGGAGTGTGGTGGGAAGTTGAATCTAACGATCAGCCATGATCATATTTAATGGCAGAAGAAGGTTGACAGGCAATATGTTCTACTCCTGCACATACGTTGTGTTCCTGTGACTGAACAATAGGAAGAGGGATGAAAGAGAGCTAGCAGTACATCTTGGTAGTGCTGTGAAGCACTCTCGCTTCTGTTGGTTCTACAACATACCTAAGAAAAGATTACTGTGCCAACGGCAACTCAATATCTTGGAAGGGTCCTTGTTTTAATATCCTTATTAGCATAGGCATGGAGCCTAATGTTGGTTTTAGGTAGCTAGCCTGTACACCTGTAAAATGACAGAACCAAAAATTATTTTGAAGTCTCTTTGGAGCACAGGATTTTGGTCCCTGATATTGGCCCTCTGTTCATCCATTTTTTGGCTGTAAAATAGGCAAACTAATGGTCATATTCTACCTAGTTACTTAAGTTTTAGCATCTTTCTTCCTCAGAGGGCAAAAAGTAAAATGTGGCTGTCAATAAAATATTTAAAGTAAGGAAAGCATAGACAGGGAGTTAGGAAATGAAAAGGATAACAAGCAAACAATGCTATTGGCAGCATGCTGATTTTTCACAGTTACCTTGTTGAGTGTAGTCACCATGACATACTGCAGTGTCTTGCATGAAATTCCCTGAACTTAATCCAAAGAAAATAAATCCATTTTTTCTATTGTTGTGGAAGTGATATTGGAGATATCTAATGTGTCTACCATATATCTATTACCACTTCTGTTTTCTATGGAGACTGGATTTGGATCTTGCCACAGACCGAAGAGGGCCGGCACGAGGGCAGCGAGCCCAGTGAGTCCCACAGGCAAGGCCCAGGACAGGCCAGTGTGGCAGTAGCAAGTCCAGGCGAGTCCCAGAGGTGAGGCCCAGGACAGGCCGGTGTGGTAGTAGCAAGTCCAGGTGAGTTCCAGAGGTGAGGCCCAGGACAGGCCGGTGTGGTAGTAGCAAGTCCAGGCGAGTCCCAGAGGTGAGGCCCAGGACAGGCCAGTGTGGGAGGTGGCAAGTCCCTTGGGGACTGCAAGTGAGGCCTCCAGGATTGATGCCCAGTATGTCTTATACACTTGGCCTGGCTGTCTGAAAACTGGCACAGAGTTTGTTAAAAGACAAGTACTTTTCAAAGTAAAGCTTCTTTCCCTTTATTCTTATGCTGAACTTTTATTTGTGAATCTCTCAAGTCTGTAACACATACTTAAGTATCCTGAACCTAGGTACCCTGTAACTAAGATGGCGCTGAGAGGCGACATTACAAACATTTCACTGCACTCATTGGGAGTGCACGTGACAAGAAAGGCTAATTCAAACTGACAATACCCACTGCAAACAATGATCCAACATGACAGCGAAAACAAAAGCTGTTGCATTTATTTCAAAAGTCACACAGATATAAAATAAAGGCCTGGATATGTTTTGTCTCACTCTCAAAGTGCAAGGCAGATAATGCAGTTGGCAATATGTTTGCATCTGTCCATTTTCTCTGATGTTAATATAAACACAGGCTTCATTTTAGAAATGTATCTTGAGGTTTGATTGGTAGTGTACACAAACCAACTGCCACTTTGCACATATAAACTACTCCTTTCAACATTCTTAAGTCTTGTCTATGTTTTCAACCAAGGACTTTCTATTTCAGACTTCCTCTTTGTTAGTACAAATCCTTTAATATACAGCTTTCAACCATACTCCTGAAGGTAAACCACGGAATATACTGGCCCAAGTTCAGGACAAGCCAACTAAGTGTTAGTTAATTTTGTCTACAAACGTTACGCTTTGCAAATGTCTGAACATATCTTTGTAAGCAATCAGATGGGCTGTTCACTAGTTCATTTGGGGAATTAAGCCATGAGTAGGGCCAAGCACCCATAAGCTTTAGCTTCAGACAGACTGTGCAGTCACTCTGGAGCCAGTCTCAGTCACTGTTTGTTGCCAAAATAAAACTGTGAAGGCAACCTGCCATTAGCTGAATTGTTTGGAGGCAGAAGTTGTGGTTGTGCCTTAATGCTTGGTTATTCACACCATCAGGCACAAAGCTCCCTTAATTTTTTTGACAAATTCACAGCAACCATGGAGAAGTATCAGGAACAACAGTGCAGTACAGACTTGTTACATGATTTCAGTTCCAGAGATCACATCATACTGATGCGGTGTCAATTAATTTAACCTTTGTTGGCTACCAGGATCAATGGAAATACCTGCTGGAATCAAAATTATCTTTGTGGCTTGGAGTTTGCTTTTTTCTGCTTACAAACTGCAAATGTTAGTTGCAGCTACTTAAAAGCATATGAATAACTTGTAATATTACTAAATCAGAGCTATGCCATTCTTCAAATTCGCCACATATGTTTCCTTGCATAATATGGCATAGGAATAAATATATATATTTATATACAATGCTGTAATAATAACAATTGGACTATCAGCATTTACCTGATATTTAAAAAATATGTTGTTCTCAGTTTTGACTGATGCATGCCATAATGTACCTAGATTATGGCTGCAACATTTCATTTCACAGCTGCTTTTCTATTGATAATTAATTCTACTGAACTTACTTTTGTCACATAGTCTGATCCATTTAATCTAATGTGGCATGTTCTATTATAAATTCTAACCGACATTGAGGACTTCCTTATTTTAATACTTCTGTGGTTCATGTAATAGTATTGAAAGACACAACTATTTCTGTTGAACCACTGCATTTGTCAAATGCAATTTCATGAATAAATCTTGAGCACTTGCATCTTCAAATACTAAAGATTAACCATTAAAAACAAACACCATATAGAGTCTGTCTACTGAAGCAACTTAATTTAGGTGACAAGTTTAACATTATGTTAAATAAGGCGCCACATCTCATTTTAACAAGTTTGCTTTGGAATTGTAGATATATAGGAAATGTTGAAGTGCTCGATGATTAACAAGGAAAAGCCAGTCTGCAGGTCATCAGCATGATATAAGCAGTGGATTCACGAGGGATTGATGACTCTGTGTATTTTCCAAAGGCTTTCCAGATAGAAGCTCGCAGGCAGCAAGTTCACGATACAGGGCATTCAAAACCTCCAGGATATGAGCCTTTCCTGTAAGAATTAAGAAGTTTTTTTTGTTGACATACTTTATCATTTTTCTCACTTCTCAGATTTGCCCACCATCCGTTTTTTTTTGCATTAGGATGCTGCAAAGGTCTTTCTTTCACAGATTTTCATAAACACAATGAAAACACTTCCAAATTGACTGACTATGGGGGCAGAGAAGGACGTGGTTAAATGTGAACACATAACCAAAACCAAAAACATTTCATGGTGGGAAGAAGCCCAAGAGACAATTTTATTGAAAATCAAAATTCAAAGTACTGGAGTTGGTTTACAAGCAGCTCTTCTTTATGTTATAATGACTCTGATTCCATGACATGATTTATTTTAAAATAAAATGGAATAGGTATTTTACATACAGCATGGTCCTATAAATAACATTGATATGAAAAACCAATTAATCATTGATAATTTCAACATTCCCTTCTCCCCCCTTGGTCTGTATGTTCAAAATTCATTTGCTCAGCTATCCTCCATAAATCTCTTATAATCCATCTCCATTGACACCGTCCTTGTCATGGCAAGCTCCTTTTGTGGTACACCACTCCTCAACTAAAGGATATCTTGTGGTGCAGTGGTAGCATCCCTACCTCTGGACTTGAAGCTTGGGGTTCAAATCTCAGTTTAGGATGTGATGGCCACACTGTGGCCAAACAAGCTAACAATCAATCTTTCTAATGTCCCCATGGCAGCCATTTAGCGAAGGAGAATTTACTGGTCACCCAAAACCATGTGTGGCTGCAGTACAATGGCCTCTTCACATTAAAGACTTTAAGTTCAGGCTTTTGGCATGAGCAAATGTCATCCTTGTTCTGAAGGTTCCCACACACTCTAGGACATTGACCTTTTGTGAAAGCCCCTAGTCTCTTTGTCTCATTATTGACTTCCAGCTGCTTAACTGCTGCTCTAGATTTTTATTTCCCTTTCAAAAGCCACCTCAAAGCTTACTTTTTTGACCAAAAGTTTGATAATTTCTCTTAATATGCCTTCTGTTGATTCCTGGCATTTATTGGCATATTTTCCTCCATTGACCAGAACGTTGTGAAAGTATTTTGTTTATCATTGATGTGTTTTCCTGACTCTTTAATACTCAGCTGAGCCATGAGGTCAGATAGCACTTCGGTTTTAACATCTCATTTGAAGGGTGGTTCCCAACAACAATGCAGCATTCCTTATACCCTGCTTGTCCAAGCACACTAATCTAGATTATAAGGTTTGAATTAAAAAAAAAATCATTTGAGGTCAAGATGATGCCATTGCAAGAAAAGGCAGATGATGATATGTATTAAAAACTGGCAAGAACATTTGCATCTATTCATTTTACTCTACAATTACCTCTGCTTGGCAAATTATTTCATGAAAATACAAGATTAGATAAGCAAGATAATGAGGGACTAAACTTACAAAATGAACAGACATGTAGAGGAAGCTAAAAATTGAGTTTGTATCTGGGATTTCCCACTTGCTGAGTTCCCAAACTCAGCTGTTCTGAGCTGTCAATCTTCCAAACTTCTTAAAGAATATTTAAGAACAATATTGGCAGAAGCTGAGAAGCGGTCTTTGTCTCAGGGGCTGGGGATGATGTATGGATTGTGGAGCCTAAATAGGGTGCAGATGTGGCAAGACCAGTGCCAGAGAGAAAAAAAAATACATTAAAATATCTCAAAGGAGTTTTAGAGAATACAATCACGTGTCACAGGCTGTTGTGAATGCATTACTGCTTTATAATCAAACTGATCAGTGAGCAATGGAAAACAAAGAATGGGAATGCTGTTGACTTACTAGACAAAACCATGGATGTCAACATCAGTAAAGTCTGTTTTATGTTAACCTGAATACCTTTTATAAAAAAATGCCATTACTTAACATCCTGTCTGGCTGGATAGTTCTACAGCTGTTTATGTACTTGAAGTAATCCCGGAATGCAAGACGTAACATCCATTAATTTTCCATTGATGTTGTGCTGCAGAAGAAAAATCTCTCCTTGTACTGCTGTATGGTATACTAACTGCATTCTAGAATCATGGAATCACAAGCACAAAGGAAGCCATTCAATTTGTCATGCCTGTGCTGGATCTTTGGTAGAACTGCCCATCAATCCCATATCCCTGCTCCTTTTCAAAACCTTGTAATCATTTTTCCTTCAAGTGCTTATTCAATTCTCTTTTGAATGTTACTATGGAATGACTCACACCACCCTTTTAGTTAGTGCCTTCCAGAGCACAAAAGGTTTGTGGGCTGGAATTTACTAGCTCTCTAGAGACAGGCTGTGAGGCCCACTTAAAATCAGTTGACAATGTTGAGAGGAAAGTCCAATGTTTTCCTTCTATGTCACATAATTTTATCAGTAGCAGAATCCTCAGCAGCATTGAATCCCACAATATAGCCAATTAAGTGGCCTAGTATCAGTCTCTTCTCAGCCCACTGGCATTTTAGCTGTTTTGGGATGGGCTGCCATCTTACGATGAGACCATTTGTTAAAGCCAGGTGGTCTCAGAGCGGATAAACAATAGTCACTTTTATGGCAGCTTTATGGACCACAGTGGGCTTCCCTACAATAATGGGCACCCCTGTGTTAAACTGTGCCATTGGAAGTTGCAGTACTCGAATCTCTGAGACCTGCCTGGACTTGGCACATTGAGTAAAAAAATGTTATTTGACCTGTGAGGGCATCTCAACACGGGGCTGCCCTCTTCTTCCTGCAGCCTCCGCAGTGTCCAACTCTATTTGTGAAGCTCTGGAGGATGCCAAGCTGCCAGCAGCCTGACTGGGCTACCATCTCTAGAAGGGGGACAGATCTTCTCAATTACACAGTCTTTTCATTTGACACCACCAGTCAAATACCCCCCAGGGTCCCACTGATCTCCAACATGGCATAAAGTTTTGCTTTTAGGACTGGCAATGTGACTATCCACCTTCTGAGGAAATTCCATCACCTGTGTCAAAAAATGTTTCCTCATGTCACCTCTGGTTTTTTGTCAAGTAATTTAAGTTTGTGTCCCCTGGTGACTGGCCTTTCTATCACTGGAAATATTTTTTCCCTATTTATGAAATGGAAACCCTTCATGATTTTAACAACTCTGCCACATGTCCTCGTTTCCTTCTCTGCTCTAAGGAGACAGAAGCCAACTGATTCAGTCACTCCACAAAACTGAAAAATCACATTTTTTCAAAAATTCCATTCATGGGATGTGGTGACGTTGGGTATTTATTGCACATGCCTAGTTGCTCCTGAGAATTAGGTGGTGAGCTCCCTCCTTGAACTGCTGCAGTCCATTTATTGTAGGTACTCCAATAATGCTGTTATGGAGGGTGTTCCAGGCTTTTTTTCTTGCTAAGCATACAGTAAATCATTTCTGGACCCTTTCTATGGGCTTCAAATTTCCTGAAAATAAGGTTCCCAACTTTTTTCCCATCAATTTGTTAATGGAATATGAGCATCGCTGACAAGAACAGCATTTGTTGCCCAACATAACTGTCCTTGGGAATATGGTGGTGAGCTGGTCTGTAGTACAATCTATGTAGCGTTAGGTACATCTACAGTGCTGTTAGGTAATGGGTTCTAGGATTTTTCTGTGGATAGTTATGAATCAATCACATTGTCATGGTCACATATAGGCCAGATCTGGTCAAGGCAACATATTTCCTTCCTAAAAGGTTTGGTAAACCGGAAAGTTTTTGCAATGGTCTACCAGTTAAGTGGTAACAATTACTGATTCTAGCTTGTTATTCCGAATTTATTTAATTAACTGGATTTAGCTTTCCACGATGTTATGGTGGGATTTGAACTGTTGATTATTAGTCCTCATCACCACATTACTCATTTGGTAATGTCACTATGCCACTTTCAGAAATCTGTTTCCCAAACCAAGCCCATTTCCAGCCTGTCATTTTCTCAGTGTTAATTCAAGCTTTGGTGTACAACTCAACCCAAGGAGGTAGATGACAGCTTTATATAATGATAATGTGGGTAAGAATGTCATTGCCATTCCGTTTTTGATCTTTTACTGCTGTTAGCTGCATTTAATGAGTGTTGGTTAATCTGGCATCTTCTTAAAGGTGAGAATTGATAGATTCATCAGGTAACTGCTTTCACCCTTACCCCGGATACAGATGCCAACATGTGAAGTCTCTTCGATCGGGACTGTGACCTACTGTGATCAAAGCCTGACCAAGAAGTAGTTTTCCTCTGTTGCTACCATCAGACTTTGATTATTCCCATTCCCCACATTCCACCACCACTGGGCTCTGATCAATCCGCAACCCCTGCACCCCTGCCACCAATTCCCATGCTGCTGGGTTCACTAGTAAGTAGCAAATTAACCACTATGACCTTCCTCTACTCAGGAACTGAGCTCTCTTCTCAACCCTGGAATTGCCAGCCCTGTCTAGTCTTCCCTATTCTGGTTGTCCCCTGCCTCTGGTCTCTACCCTCTTACGCGACACACCTTTAAACCCCCCAGACTTTCCCCATTTCTGGTCAACTCCACTCTGGCATGTCTACCTCCCCTTCTCGTTGACTATCTTCCCAGCATGGATATTCCTACTTTCATGGATTTGATGCTTCCTACTTTCATGCTTTTGACCTGCCTTATAGCCCAGTTATCAATCAGGCTGAGCCTACGGGTGGGGAACTAATAACCAATATCATTAAAATACAAAGAATCTGAGAGAATTTTAAATGATGGGTTGAAAATCCTTGACTTTCCAATTGATTCATTCACTACAGGACAGGTCAGTAAAAATTCTGCCCATTCAGTGTCTTTGTTTGATTTTTATGCCACCTTGTCCAATAAATCAACTGTTTAGCCATGTACTTATTGCATGTATTGAACTGAAAATAAATTATTAACTCACCATGTTGAGGGTTACTGCAGGACTCCAAAGTGCTGAGCAAGATTTTTCCTAGTGATCTCCTAGACACATTCTAGATAAAATAAATAACATCTTATTGACTACATTGTAAAATGCGAATGCATTTACTCTAACATTTTGGCTTTCAAGCATCTTGAAAATTGCTCTTAATAACCTTCCAGCACATTTGATTCTACATAGGCATTTCAGCCTATGTCTTTTCTAAAGTTTAGGAGATATTAAAAAATATCAATCACTGCTAATGTGCAATTGGAAATGAGCTTTTCCTTATTATGAGAGACTATTGCAGTAAATTACTGAAAATTGTCAGAGCATCATTCACTCACAAGGTCACGTAGCTGCTGGAGGAGCTGTAATACATCCATCAGCTTTTCTTCAATTAGTGACAGTCGCACTCTCTCTGTCTCTAACATCTGCAGCTCCATCTGAAGCAACTCTGTCTCATCTACTTTCCGCTGTAACTCACACAGTAAGGACCCTTTCAGCTGAAAAGTACAAATGAGAAAAAAAGCTGAGCTTTTTAAATTAAACAAAAATAACACAGTAGATCAGAGGATTTGCTGCTTTATAACAAAGATTTCTGATGCTTTTAGGGGATGACAGCGACTACAGGAGTGAATCAGAAATTCCATTCTGTGCTTTGGGAATTTAATTTTACAATTCATTTACTACTGAATGAAACTAAATATGGATGTGTTACATACTTATTTGGATATTTAATTTTTATTCCTTTACATGTAATAAGAATGCACATTAAAGTGCGCAAAATGAATCAATCAGAGCTGTATAGCAATCCCCAGAATAAAGTTTAATTGCACTTAGGAACTGGCCAGCACTTTTGAAGCAATGGGGAATTGTGCTACGATTTGGCAGTAGTAAGGTAGAATCCCAGGGCTTGGTAAAATAGGTTTGAAAGAACTGGGGCTGCAGCGGTTCATCCTGAAAATATTGACGACAATGAAAAGCACGGATATCCCTCACAATAAGAAAATGGTGCATTTGACATAACTTACATCATTGCAGCATACGTTTCTAAATGTTTACCAAAAACTTTTTCATGAAAACAGCACACCATTATTTTTTGCCATTAAATGTACTTTTAGTGGGCATTAAATTAAAGCATCATGCTGTTCAGAATTTTTACCTGATCCATGCTCGTTTCCATTTGCTGCGTTTTATATTCCTTTAATTCCAGTTGCTCCTTTAATTTTGCCACTTTCTCAACCAGTTCTAGAATTGCGCTATTGCTTTCATCACTCCTTATGTTCCCAAATTCTGACAGTAGCTTCTTAATAGTCTTATCATCACAACTGTGAAAATATAACACATGAATCAAACTATCGTGAGATGAAACGTGTTGTGCATGCACACAAATTGAAAAACTGTTAATTGAAAAGTGAAAAATTGTATAATAATACAAAATAACATTGAACGTAATTGTACTTGTTGTTCATATGTTAATGCAATAGTAACTGCAAGGTAGGGCAGTTAAATGCAGGAATCCAAAAGTTGCTCTTTGAAATGCAACACTCCCAGTTAGTTCCATATGTTTCTGTCCGGCTAACCATTCAAAAACATTAAATGGCATGAAGCTGTTGTAGCTGTGTAACAGATAGAGTCATAGAGTCAAAGATTTATTGAGTCCTACAGCACAGAAACAGATCCTTCAGTCCAACCAGTCCATGATGACCATAATGCCAAACTAAACTAGTCCACCCGCCTGCGCTTGGCCCATATCCCTCCAAACATTTCTTACTCATGTACTTGTCCAAATGTCTTTTAAATGTTATAATTGTACCTGCATCCATCACTTCGTATGGAAGTTCATTCCACACATGAACTTCTCTTTCTGTAAAAAACTTGCCCCTCCTGTTTTTTTTTAATCTTTCTCCTCTCACTTCAAAAATATGTCCCCTAGGTTTGAAATTCCCCACCAGAAGGAAAGGGCACCTGCCATTCACCTTATCCATACACCTCATTATTTTATAAACCTCAATAAGGCCACCCCTCAACCTCCTACGCTCCAGCCTCTCTTTATAACTCAAACCCTCCATTCCTGGCAACATCCAGGTTAATCTCTTCTGTATGCTTCCCACTTCAATAATATCCTTCCTATAACTGCGCGACCGGAACTGGAGACAGTACTTCAGAAAAGGCCTCACCAAAGTCCTGTACAACCTCATCATAATGTCCCAACTCCTACACTCAAAGGGCTGAGCAATGAAGGCAAGCGCGCTAAATGCCTTTTTAACCACTCTATCTATATGTGATGCAAACTTCAAAAAATTATGTACCTGAATCCCTAGGTCTCTTTGCTCGAAATTACTTCTCAAGGTCCTACTTTTAATTATATAAGTTCTGCCCTTGTTTTGTTTTACCAAAATGCAATATCTCGCATTTATCCAAATTAAACTCCATTAGCCACTCTTTGGCACATTGACCCAGTTGATCAAGATCTCTTTGTAATCTTAGATAACCTTCTTCACTGTCCACTATACCACCAGGTTTGGTGCCATCCATAATAGTGATATAGTATATACACACTAAATGATCTCATAGTAAATGATTCTCTGGGGAAGAATAACCATAGCATGCTAGAATTTCAAATTCAGTTGGATGGTGAGAAACTGGAGTCCCACACTAATGTTCTGCAATTAAAGAAAGGAAATTTTGTAGGCACAAGGACAGATCTGGCTCCAGTGGATGGGTTGGGAAGACTAAAAAGTAGGACAGTTGAGCAGTGGCAGTTAATTAAGGGGATACTCAATTGCTCCCAACTATGATATATTCCAGAAAGGAAGAAAGATGGTAAGAGGGGAATAAATCATCCATGACCAGGCAACAAAGTTAAAGATATTATAAAGGCAAAACCTAAGGCATACCATATTACAAAAGTGAGTGTCAGGCTGGAAGATTGGGAAACTTTTAAAGATTGACAAAGGGTTACTAAAAAAGTAATAAAAAGAACAAAGGTAGATTATGAAACAAAACTAGTGAAAATTATAAAAAATGGATAGCAAAAGCTTCTATAAGTATATAAAAGGAAAGACAGCAGCTAAAATTAATGTTGGTTCCTTGGAGGATGAGACTAAAATGAGAAACTCAGAAATGGCAAAATCGCTAAACCAAAATTTTGCTTCAAGTTTCATGATGGAAGACACTAGTACCATCCCAATAGTAGCAGGCAATGCAGAGAAAAGGAGTAACTTGGAACAATCGTCATTACCCTAGAGAAAAGGTACCAAGCAAACTGTTAGGATTGAAGGCAGACATGTCTCCAAGACCTGATGGCCTAAATCCTATGGTTGTAAAGGAAGCGGTAGCAGAGATCGCTGATCCATTGGTTTTAATATTCCAAAACTCCCTGGATGCAGGAAAGATGCCAATGGATTGGAAAAATGCTAACATGATGCTCTCATACAAAAAAGGGAGGGAGGCAGAAAGTAGGAAACTACAGACAAGTTAGTTTAACATGTGTCATCGGGAAATTGCTAGAAACCATTATTAAGTAAGTAATAACAGGACATTTGGAAAGTCAAAATGCAATCCATCACAGTCAGCATAGTTTTATAATGGGTAAATCATGTTTGACAAATTTTCCAGAGTTCTTTGCAGATGTACCAAGCAAAATCGATAATGGGGTTCCTGTCGATGTAGCAAGATGGACTAGGATGGATTTCCAGAGGGCATTTGATAACGTGCCACTCAAAAGGTAAGTTCACATGGGGTTGGAATCATTTATTAGCTTGGATAGAGATTTTGTTAACCAACAGAAAAAAGAGAGTTGGATAAACGGGTATTTTTCTGGTTGGTGACTTGTAAGTAGTACAATGCCACAGTGTTCGGTCCTCCGGCCCCAACTATTTATAGTCTATATTAATGACTTGGATGCAGGGATAGAATGTGCTATGGCCAAATTTGCAGATGACACTAAAATAGGTAGGAAAGTAAGCTGCAATGAATAAATAAGAAATTAAAAAATTGATTTGATTTTGATTTTATTGTCACGCATACCGAAATACAGTGAAAATCTTAGTTTACGAGCGGTACAGGCAGATCACAGCAAGCAAAGGACGTACAGATCAAAAAGACTTAGAGGCATACAGGTTACATTGCAGGTTACATTATTTGAGGCTAGAGTCCGTTCAACAGTCTGATAACAGCCAGAAAGAAGCTGTTGCTGAACCTGTTTGTGCTTGTGTTCAGGCTTCTGTATCTTCTGCCTGACGGAAGAGGTTTTAGGAGGTCATTAACATGTGCAATGGGTCTTTGATGATGTTGGCTGCCTTTCCGTTGCAGCGGTCTGTGTAAATAGAGTCCATGGATTGAAGGTTTGATTCCGTGATGGATATGGATAGGTTAGGTGAATGAGCGAAAATTTGGCCAGTAAAGTTTAACGTGGATAAATGTGGGTGATCTATTTTGGTCAGATAATTGAAAGACATTTATCTAAATGGAGAGAAACTTCAGAATGCTTTGGCACAGAGGGATCTGGGTGTTCTCATGTATCAATTGCAGAAAACTAATATGTAACTACTACTTAAATTTTGGTATTTATTGCTAAAGGAATTGAGTATAAAATAGGGTGGTGTTGCTGCAACTCACAAGGCATTCGTAAGATGGAGTATTGCATACAGTTTTGCTCCCCCTACTTGAGGACAGATGTAGTTACACTGGAGGCAGTTCAGAGAAGGTTAATTAGATTGATTCCAGAGATGAGGGGTTTGCCTTTTGGAGAGAGATTGAACTGTTTAGGCTTACGCTCACTGGAGTTTAGAACAATGAGACGAGATCTAATTGGGATATCTAAGATGCTAAAAGGGATTGGTAACGTAGAAGTAGAGAATTTTTCTTCATGTGGGGCAATCCAGAAATGAGAGGTCATAGTTTCAGGATAAGGGGTAGCAAATTTAACACAAAGATGAGGAAAAATTACTTATCCCAAATGGTCATGAATCTGTGGAATTCACTACCCCAAAATGCGATGGATGCTGGGTCAGTGAGTAAATTTAAGGAAGAGATAGACAGATTTTTAATTAGTAATCTGCTGAAGGGTTATGGACAGAAAATTGGAGTTGAGGTTGAGATCAGATCAGCCGTGATTGTATTAGATGGGGAATCAGGCTTAAGAAGCTGAATTGCCGACTCCTGTTCCTAGTTCTAATGTCCCAAAGCTGTCATAAAATTGCAAATCTTGTTCATTTCAGTCTAAGTGCCTTTTTAATAACATAAGTGATAATCATTGTCAAGCAACTTCTCTGGCATTCATGATAAGCTACTACAATTGTGAAGTTTCATTCCTTCATATTTTAACTGTTTGAGATTTTAAGAATTAGTACTTCAATTATTTTTCTTTTCTCTCTATCTTAATCATATTTTTCTTTCCTTTTCTTCATTTTTTTCTCTGTGTCTGATTTGACACTGACTTTATGCATTCTGTTTTGAAATTCCAGCTCAGTCCTTGGGTGGATACTTCCAATCCCTACCATACGGAGTAGAATGGCAGAGGGTGAACTCAATCAGGCAAGAAGTCAAAAATCACATCTGACCAATTAACTTTCCCTTCCTCAGGTGGCTGGTTGATTATGTTGTCAGCAGGTGACAAGAACCCTATCTCCATGCATTCGCATCTCATTAATATCTGGTGCTTCAAAAACCCACCAACAAGCAGGAGTGTATCTGGCGAGTTGCATTTCTTCATTCACTTTCAGTGTTAAGTACTTGCTGCTTTATTCTTGTAGTGATACATCTTTAAATGAGATGTGACCATCACTGGCCGGACCTGCATTATTGCCTATCCCTAGTTACCCTTGAGATAATGGTGGTGAGCTACCTTCCCAAACCTTCGCAGGCCAATGTGCTGTAGACACCTTTCAAGAGGGAGTTCCAGGGTTTAGCAACGTTCAATAACTTCCTGATACTTCCCACAAAATACGCTGAATGAAAAATAAATAAAACTTTGAATGATACATATTGATCCAATTTCTATTATATACCTCAAAGTGGAGCTCCAACACAGCCAGTATGTTCAAGTATGCTCCAGGATTTTGACCCAGTGATTTGTGCATAATCTCTCAATCTGATTATCTATGCAATTGTTGGCCTACTCAGGTCTCAGATGCCCAATTTCGTCCCTTACCGTTATGTTATCAGCACATACTTTCAGCAATTTACTGCACAAAATATCATCACTATTAAGGGCAAACCTAACCAATAGCAGACGCTGTCTCTTATCCTGCCACAGCAAATTATTGCCAATATTAAATATTGCAAGGAAGTGACATAATCTACTAATCTAACTGGAACACTGCTCTCAACTTCTTATGAACATACTGGTCATACTGGAGCTCCGTTTTGAGGTATCCAATAGAAGTTGGATCAATATGCGTCATTTGCAAGTTTAACTTACTTTTCTTTCAGGGTATTTTTTTGGATAGTATCAAGAAGTTATGAGAATGTTGCTAAAGCCTAACTGATTGATCAACGTTCTTTAGGTCCAGGGACTGCTCCACAACTATCCGATCTTTCATAAAGGTTATGGTTTTACACTACTTACACGATTGATAAATAACGAGAAGGGATCAAAAGCACAGTCAAAATTTGTAAAACAATATATTTTTATCAGTAACTTTGAAAGAAAAAGTCTACTGCTTTTAATCACATGAATTTCTATCTTCAGGTTCAATGTTATAACTCTTTCCATTCTTCTGATATGTTTAATGTTCATCTGACAAATTGTGAAAAATATCCTATTATATTTTCTTGTGGTTTTGGGATCAATTAGCATTGATTTTAAATAATTCAGATAATTTTGTTCACTACTTTGTCTATATTAAATCGCACAATGAAACTGTTCTTATCTTAAATAGCTGTTTCAGAAACCCAGGTTATATCATGTAGATATATGCATGTTACCTACAGAATTTGACAGAATTAGCAATATTTAAGATTGCATAATCTATGTATTTGGAGGATACAAAAGAAAGGTAACTACACAGATACTGTGAAGGAAGACTCTAGTTAAATTTCAACAATAAGTTGGTAATCTGATATCTAATGCAACTAAGTAACTAAAAGTTCAATTGTCTGAAAGACCAACTTACCCATTCCCACAGCAACAAAGTCTGGTCAGAAGTTTCTTCAATTCCTTCACCTGACTCTTCTGATCTTCAGTCCACTTCTCATCTTCTTCATCCGAGGCTGCCTGTCCCTCTACTGAACGAAACAGCTGCTCTTCAACTAGTAGATAGACAGGGAAGCAAAACTTTTATTCTACTTAATCTCTTTGAATTGTAGTGACATTTCAAGGCCAGATAAAGATTGTACTATTCAGTTTTCTAGGAATTTTCTTGCACTTTTCTTCCAGCCAAAAATTGAATTATTAATGAACAGAATTTTCCCAAAGCATCCTATGAAATTTCGTTAGTTCTTATGAGTTGTTAATTTGTGAGCTACCAGCCTTAATTCACTATGAGTACATAATAAATACGAACTAATCAGACTTATCATGTGTTAACCCCATGAGGGGTTGTCTTTTGGAGAGAGATTGAACTGTTTAGGCCTGTGTTCGCGAGAGTTTAGAAGAATGAAAGGAGACCTAACTGAGGTATATAAGATGCTAAGGGGGATTGGTAACGGAGAAGTAGGGAGACGGTTTCCTCATGTGGGGCAATCCAGAATGAGAGGTCATTGTTTCAGGATAAGCGGTAGCAGATTTAAAACAAAGATGAGAAGAAATCATGTGCAAATTAAAAAGGAAGGGTCACTCGACCTGAAGTGATTTCTGATTTCTGTCCACAGATGCTGCCAGACATGCTGAGATTTTCCAGCAATTGCTATTTTCGTCTGATTTACAGCATCCACAGTTCTTTCGGTTTTTATAATGTAAAGATGTTCATTATCTCACTTAACAAATATCTAAACTTAGTTAAGGTACACAAGTGATTTAATGTTCCTCATTAGCTGACAATGATATTTGGCAGCAAAGAAGCAAATGTTTGAACTCAATAATTATTCAACACAAGTGTATGTACGGTTGCTGTGACATACTTTATATGATGAAACAGTCTGTGCATTGAGTGGTTTCAAATGGTATCTAATTTAGTCTTGTGTATTTCACTAGCTGGAATAACTGTACAGTAAACATAATTTGCACATTTCTCTGGAATCTAATGATTCAAAAAATGAAACATGAAACGATATCCTAAATTTAGCACAGATGTCCTGCACTTCCTACAGTATAACACTGAAATTATTGCATAAATCAGGATTGTCAATCATTAATGCAGGTACATATGCATGCCTGCTGTTTATTTACATAGGCTATTGATTTGATTACTATAAATAAAAATACAGATTGAATTGTTCTGAACCTTAAAGTCAGTCATGATGGTGCTCACAGGTGAAATATTCTGGCCTCTATTGCTTAATTTACTCTGAACAAAATTACAGCTTTTCTTTCAAAGCCAGGCAACAGACAACATCCAATGCTAATATTCTAATTGACAGTAATAATCTATTTGAATGTTGAATGAATCTTAAGCAGACTACAGTACAAATGAAATTTAACTGGTCTTTTTCTTGAACATTTGTTCTTCAACTATTTGCTTCAAACAATCCTGAAGCCCTTATCCCTTTCAACTTTTCTCAGAATGAATGTTGATATTCATTCCTTCGCTATGAGGTTCATTATTTTTTGCTTGGTATCTTAACAATGCAAGCATAATAATTAGATTAGAATGGTGTGGAGTGCACTGGCAATTTTGTATTCGTATGTATGAATTAATTAGATACATTCTTTCCTGCAAAGGTAGTGTAGTCTGGTACAATTTGAAGCATTTCTGCCTTCCTTCAAAAATATCTTTCGCATTGAACCATGATTCCTTGCACAGAAGTTTGCTTTTTGCTCACTGGGTTTTAATATTATTTCATTTCAAGACTGAGATCATGAAGATTTTATCTCTATCAACCATTCTTCAGTAAGCACAGGATAGATTTACATCAAAGTTTCAACAAAATTGTAATTTGTCTGAAAGTATCATTTTTTTTTCTCTTCCTTCCTTCACATGTCTATCCAACACTTATCAAACCAGTGCAGAGAAACCCCAAAATTAGGCTCATTGTATTTTTAGGGTGGAGTCTGAACTATGTGACCATCACATCAGATTCTGTATATTTTGCAGATGAAAAATATGTCAGTAGAGGGTCTGAATACACAAAAATACTTCACAAGGTGGCAGTCAAGTTGTTATGTGCCAGATATAGTATCATGTTAAAGAAATATTAACATTGAAAGCAGCCACACAATGGTAGCAACGACTTGCTAAAGCAAAACAGTTAAATTTGATGGAATGATGTTCATTATGGTAACTGAGTTTGCAGATTCTGAACATTAGATTTGTGTACAAACAGACAATACAAATACGACATTCTATAGACTGCTTCACAGAGCTAAGCGTGTATTTAGCTCCAAACAAATTGGACTGATGACTCTTTTTTGCACTGAAGTGAGCATAGCAGATCTTTTCTGGGGAGGCAACTATCAATCACATTGTGGCAAGTAGCCAGGAAAAATCATTACTTCATTATTTCATTGTTATTCAGGGTGTCTACTTAAATTACAAATGCAGGCTAGCATCCTAATTTGAGAACACCCACAATAGAACAAACAAAGAGAAGCCATCTCCTTGGAATCAGGCACTTGAAACAACAATGAAAAAACCTGGATAGTGTGCATTCCCCAAGTATTGAGTAATGCTTTAAATTTGGCCAACAATTTATGGGGCAACCTGCCTGAACTTGTTTTCCACTCTTCTTTGGGTAATGTAAGCTTAGACAATAATATTTACTGTCCCAGCTTGGGTCTAATTCTAGCTCAGCCTCATTGTATGAATGTCTTCTCTTTTCGAATGTGTGAATGAGGAACATCTTTTTAAATGGTCACAGAAAATGAAAAATATTAAAACTAAACATAATAAATCAGATAATCAAACATGGAAAACAGGTTGAAAGAAACAGAAATATGACAGCACCGTATAATGTATGTTAGATTTTCTGATATGAATATTACATTTTCTAATTGTTCTTACCATTGTAAGTTGGTGTTTCTGTATCGCCTGTTGGGGATCGTTGCTCCTGGTGCACAGGTGGACAAGCCTTCCACTCATACAATGCAAGAGGGGGCCTCCGTTCTGAAGCATTTGGCTGCAGGAATTGAAGCTTTCGGACCTCTGATCTGTAAGGAAAAGAAGAAAATAGACATGAAAAATAAACAAACCCCTTTAAGTTTATTTTGGTTATTTTGTGAGCTCTTTGGGCGATCTCTACCCTTCATTGGTCTTTAAATACATACATCTACGAAACATCTAACACTAGTAACTTTGATTCTAAGTATGCTAAAGAAGAATTGGCAAACTGCATTGAACCTCCTTAATTTACAATTTTGTCATTTTTATTATCATGAAATACTGCCTTATAAATGACTAATATTTTTTTTCTATAGTTTGGTAGACTTTAAAGCTTCTGTTAAAATGACAATGTTATTGCTAGGTGTAACAATTAGTCCTTCAAGATAAAGTAAAAAGCAAACTGTCTGTGGATAATCAGCACTTATTGATAAGATGGTTGTTGAAACTCACATTTCATTCAATGAAAAGTCAAACAATTTCACACCCTGGCATATAAAACAACTCTTACCAAGAACACATCACATAAACAGAAAAAACAACTGCTATTGAATTAACTTATACAGCTGTTGATGTTATACAGAAAGTGCACACTATTGTAATGATCCAAACTGATGTCAATACTGGACAAAACCACTCCCCTCAATAAAACCTGGCTTGAAACCTTAAGTTTCATTTTGCAATTTGGTTACTGTGGCGATGAGTTACTGAGCATCTTCACACATCGCTGTCAAAGTATTTTTTGACAAAAATACATAAGTTTATTACACAGAAATAGCAATATGTATAGACACAAAAATTTGGAAAGATCTTACAATAAACAGCAAAAAGAAAAGTTCGACCATTTTTTCCCAGCTTTATCCTTTACAGATGCTCAACATCCGTGAAGTATCTCTTCCATCTTCACTTTAAAATTTCTTACTCATCAGATGAGGTCATGAGTGTTTCCTTTCAGCACATGCAGGAGCAGCAGTTCTCTCCATGAGACACAGATACAGATTAATTCACTGACTTTTTCCAATTAACTCTAATACATAAAGGGCTGCTAGAAAAGCTTAACACTTTGTTTCAGCTCTGATGGCCTGAAGCCTTCCAAAACTTAAACTGTCCTTCTGCTGGTGAGGATATTTTCTTCTGAACTCAACCTGCTTGTGGACATTGGCTCCTCTTTTCTGTCTGACATACCAAGGCTAGCAAGTTGCATTAACACACTGATGTTTATTTTTGAAGTCCTATTCTGCCATGGGATATAGGCAAATAGGCAAACCCAGCATTTGTTGCCCTTCCCTTTTTGCCTAGAGCTAAGTAGCTTGCTAGGCACTTCAGAGGGCAATTAAGAGTCAACTACATTGCTGTGCATTCCCTAAAGGACATAAGTTAACCAGAACCCAATTTTACAACAGTTGATAGTTGTCATGATCAAAAATACTGAAACCAGCTTAATTTTCCAAAGTTATAAATAAATGAATTAAAATATCACCAATTATTGTGGTGGGATTTGAACCCATGTCGCCACAGCATTAGTCCAGTTCTCTAGATTACTAGCCCAATAACGCTATCACTACATCATCATCTTCCACTACACATTTTTATTTTAATTAAATCCAACATTAACCACTTAATTTTTGTTTCTGCTTTACTTTATATATATATATATATATCATGAAAAATTATGTCTTGTGTAATCTTTCTGCTGGTGGACTTAACACCAAAACTATTTTAAAAACATTACAAAATGTACTTAGTGATTCAAATCAAACTTTCAATCCAATATCCTAAGAAATAGAAAACAGGAAAGAAATCCTCCCTGCTTTGAGAATTGCTTTAGGGAATAGTCAGAAGAGATAATCCTTTAATAATAAAGACAAAGATTGTGGAATGTATGAAATAGAAATAAAATGAAAATGAGAAAAAAACCATGGAGCTCTTTCACTCATCGTCCATTATTGCAGGTGCCAGTGCATTAACTATTGTTGGTGGGAGGAGGAGGAAGGGAGGGAAATTCACCAGTACAGTTGAACAACTGAGGCTAAAAGACAGTAGCATTAATAAAGTAGTGTTAGAAATTATCCAGTGGAAAATTATGAAGACTTCACGCTGATTTGGAACTAAAAGGAGCATAAAATGTTGGATTTGGAAGCTCACACTTCAATAACTAAAGCAGTACAGAAAAGTAAAATGAATTTAGAACATTCCAGCTCCAAGGTCAGTCCAGTTGTTTGATATTTGCCTTCAGAGATTCAATGCTGAGTGTTCCTAAAAACACAGTTTAATAAAAAAAAGAAAATGGACAGAGAAATGCTAAGAAAAAGAATGGTGCAACAGAGAGACATGATAAATACTGAGAAAAAAATTTTGTTGCTGAATTTTTACAGGCAAAATGAGGTGAGATATAATAAAATCATGGGAATCTACCACTACCGTACAGAAAATGTGCATCTCGCATTGAACCCTCCCTCCATATGCCATTCGCATTTTTGTAACAGTGATGATAATTATCCTCCAATATCAAACTTACTACCTGTACTTTACAAAGTGAGACTTCATCAAAACTGCCAAGTCAGAATTTATCCTAAAATTAACTGAGTGCCACTAAAGGCATAACACAAATATTTAGGATATTAGAACATGCTGAATTGATTGAACTTCTTCACTCTTTAGCAAGAAGTCATGGCAATTTTATGCTGTCCATACTTTCATTGTGTATTTTCACTTACTTGTAGATATTTAACAGGAAATGGTGAAAGATTTTGCATATTTAAAAGAAAATGGGAAGGAAAGCGAAATATCAGGTTCGTGAAATTTACATGTGGATTCAGAATTCATCAATGCTTTCAAATATTGGTTAATTCTGTCACGTAGATAGTTTAAAAAATGTCAATGACTTAAATCGCCCAAGCATTACTCCTTTTGACATAAATCCCATTGTTAAGCTACTGGCAGAGCACAACTACTGTTAATTGACATTAATATTGTTTTCTTGAACGAGCTATAGAACAAACTTAAACTTGTCAAAAGTGGCAGGTAATATCTTCTATAAAAATATTTAACAAGTAATCAGTTCAACTATTAACAAAACCAGTGGCAGCAGTAAGGATAAAATTCATGTGGCAATATCAGGACCTCATTTTGATGACATTCAGAACCGCTGGAGATTCTGATAATATATCCGAATTTAAGCAGAGTGAAGTCACCATAGTGAGAGACAAATATCTCTCTTGTTCTTTTGTGCAGTAAAAGTAAGCTGCTTTAGACTTTGAAAAATATGTCAGAGAGAATGAAAGAGTGTAAAGTGATAGCTTCTGAAATATTATCCATGACTAATTGTGTTTTAATTAATGCTCTTCAGACTGTATGAAGGCTTGAAGCAGCAAACTAACAGCCAAGTTAACCAACATTCTTCCCCTTAGTAACAGCAATTCATTATAAGATAAATAATTCCTTTTCTTGTTATGGAAAATGAGAACAACTTCCAATATTTAACAAGTACCTTAGAGCAATGTTTTACTGAATAATTTAAAACTCTGATGGATTATTATGCTCTTGATCTTAGGAAATGATCTTAGATATGTTTGCTAATAAAAAAAAATCTAAAGCAAATCTACAGCATGTTGTCCTTTCACCTTGCTACTGGTTGAATCCATGGATAAAATGGGTCTAAAATAAAGTTGTTTCTAAAATTTGTAGAATTATTTCCCTGAGTCTAAAGTGCAAATAAAGTCTGCAGCTTCAAATGCTTCAAAATTCAGCTGATATCTATATAAAGGTTTATAAAACTTTGTCTTCATTTCATAGAAAAATTACTTCAGCTGGTAAATTTCATTATTTCTTTTAGAGCATTATGGTAATTTCATTATCAATATGACATTGGTTATGAAAGTTTGGAGTTCTCAATCCAATTTCTACTGGTTGTAGATCACAAGTAGGTCACAAGAATAGCTTGTGTACAGGGAAGAAATTCATTCAATATTCTCCCAATTTGGGGGTGTTTCATTGCGAAACAGCCCCAAGCTCTGCACCTAATCATGTAATTTGCAAGTCTAAAAGCCTAACTTGGATTTTCTTTTAAAATGAAAATCTGTCTGGATCTTCAACATTTTGGATCTTTACAGGACATTGGTTAGGCCACTTTTGGAATAATGCATGCAATTCTGGTCTCCCTGCTATAGGAAGAATGCTATGAAACTTGAAAAGGCTCCGAAAAGATTTACAAGGATATTGCCAGGGCTGGAGGGTTTGAGCTATAGGGAGAGGCTGAGTATACTGGGGCTAATTTCCCTGGCATGTGCAAAGGCTGAAGGGTGACCTGAAAGAGATTTATAAAAGCTTAAGGGGCATGGATAAGGTAAATTAGCCAAGGTCTTTTCCCCGGGGTGGGAGAGTCCAAAACTAGAGGGCATAGGTTTAAGGTGAGAGGTGAAGGATTTTAAAAGGGAAATAAGGGGCAGCATTTTCATGCAGAGGGTGGTGCATGTATGGAGTGAGCTGTCAGAGGAAGTGGTGCAGGCTGGTACAATTACAACATTTAAAAGACATCTGGATGGGTATAAGAATCAGAAAGGTTTAGAGGGATATGGGCCAAATGCTGGCAAATAGGACTAGATTTATTTAGGATTCCTGGTTGGCATGAACAAGTTGGACCAAAGGGTCTGTTTCTGTGCTGTATATCTCTATGACTCCAAGACTGTACTCCTAAAACACTAGCAATGCTTAGCTCAACTCCCCATTAGATATGGTTGATCTGATTTCAACATTGTGTAACTGAATGTATTTTGAGTAGGTTAGAATCAGAATTTTATTGGTGATTTTTCAAAAGCCTTCAAGTTTCTTTATCAAATTAGGACCATTTCGATTCAGAGTTCATCATATGAATTTGACTAATTTTCTTGGAATTATAAGAATGCAATATTTTATGTTGCTTTTTCTTTCTCAATTGGATTATGAGGTACCCATAAACAGTATTTTTCATTCACTCAAATATAAAGAGTTAAAATAAGGATTGACTGTCAATCACCAAGTCCCTCTAGCTTCCTTTTCCTTGTTAGAATGC